TTGATTGTGGCATTAATATGTATTTTAAAATGTAACTAAATTTTTTTTGGAAATAACCTACCCACATCAGCTGTTATCAGAAATTGGCATATTTGAGTTAAAATTTTAGCTCATCTCAATGTTGCTGTAATGTACATGTACTACTTAAAAGTTTAATCGTTAACATAATGTATTTCAGTTAACATATACATGTTGTACAAAAAACTATCAAATAGTAACATAATGTTGCATAAAGTTTATAATTTAAAAGTTGAGTGATGAGTACATTATTAAACAGTTGGTATTTCATATTCAGTAGGTGGTGGAAGAGAAGTCTCATATTCATTATTAGTTGTATCATACACTGGCTCAACAGTTGATTTATTAATAATAACTTTAAATAATAATAATAATTGTATTTTATATAACTGACTGTGTTTGTTGTACTGTACTGTATGCTGGACTATCCTTCATTAGTATATATCAGTAGTACTGTATGTGTGTGTATATAGACATAATGTACTAGTCAATAGTGTAACTAACTTTGTTTTAAATTCAGTTGTAGCATAAGCTGGACTGCACTCCATTACAATCTCACTACCTGATTTCCTTTTAATCAAAGCTAATTGTAATGAATATGTACATTTATAGACATACCTATTTTGATTGATATTAGTTGTTTTTATGTACAAAGCTAGGGCCAGTATAATAATTATAATTATAGCCAGTACCAATAATACAGTAATAGCTACAATTGGACCAACAATCACTCCAGTATTTCCATTATTCACTAATACAGTAGTCAATGGAGTAGTCATGGTAGTTATTTCTGTAGAATAAGTAACTACTGTAGGATGCCTTTTTCGAGGCCAGTAAATTATGTAGATTTCGCGATTTTTAAAAATTTGCGAAAATTACTTCCACAAAAATCAAATTAATATGGTACAAGATGGCAGACGGCATAAATTCACAAAAATTAAATCTGCAAAATAAAAATTTGCAAAATCTATCTCCTCAAAAAAGGCACTCTACAATATAAACATAAACAAGCATCAATAACAATATGTTTACTCATGCTTAATGGTACTGACTATTGATGACATTACTTTAAAATAAACTGACTACATACATCTATTATTATATGTACTGTCTTACTTGTTGATGATCCTGTAACAGTAATGACTGATGAAGTGCTTGATATAATAGTAGCAGTTAGAGTAACACCTAAATACATGAAAAGAGCATTATTTATTGAGTGATTCATTATAGTATAACCTGGTGGTATTGGTTGAGTCCTCTCTCCTTCATAAATGATTCCATTAACATTAAATGATGTAGATATAGAGAACAAGTATTTCAGATTAGGATCTAATCCTCCTATTAGACCTTCAGTAGTATCACCTGGGAATACTCTCATTCCTGTCTCTACTTGTCTCTTCTTTCTTGAGGAGCTACTGGTTGACTCATAATAAACAGTATAATGACTAACTCTACGAATTAAATTCCACTCAGCTCTCACTGCTGTAGAACTGAGTTTTGTTACAGAAAACAATTCAAGGACAACTAAAATAAAATATAATTAACTAAACTTATTGTGACACTAATTTTTTACATATTTGAGCAGTACTATATTTTCTATTAGTCCATTCTCCTGGTCCAATACTAGTATATGCTCTCACTCCAATAGTATAACTAGTATTAGGTATCAATCCTACTATAAAGTAATTAGTTTTAGTTGTCTTATAATATTGTATGGACCAGTACTGGTAGACTCTCTATATCTTAATACTGTAATGATACCATTAGGTATTGTAGGAGGGTTCCATACAAAAGGTAGTGCATCTGGGTCCTTTGCATGTCTTAGATCAGATATTACACCAGGAACTGCATTAAGATCATGTTAAACTGATCAATATCTCATTGACTTACTTGATTCACCAGTTAATTGTATTTCTTGTCTAGCTGGTCCATTCATATTATAATTATAAGGTATTATACTCACAGTATAGTTAGTATATTGTATTAATCCTATGAGATTATACATTCTGTTTTCTCCTCCAGTTATATTAACAGTATAACTAGTGTTTGAAGTGATGTTAGTGTATGTGAGGTAGTATCCAGTGATTGGTCCATTCCTTCCATTGCAAGGTACTTCATCCCATGAGACAGTCATTGACACTGACTCTACTGATGAGAATACGAGACACCTACGGTGCATGGCCTCGCCCCTATAGCTGCTATGGTGCATGCCCGCACTGCAATAACTGTTTGATTATCAGCATGAAGAGAGTCTGTTCAACATTAGCTTCCTGCAGTTGCATTTGCTCTTGAATACCTGCAGAAGTAGCAGCACTGCAGCACATACATGCAAGCAGCTCCAGCCCCTCCCATGCATGTAGATTGAAAGGTGTGGCATTACATCATCAACTACAATGATGGCAGCAAGAAGACCATGTGAGAAAGAAGCTTAACTTTTTCTTTACTAATCAGCAATATACGATAAACTTGCTGACAGAAAGTTGTTGCCTTCATGTATTTGAGATAGTATAGGTACTTTAGTACCTATAGCCCACTAGGT